AAAGCTGGAGAAATTGGCACAAGATAGTATCGAGATGGTAGGAAAAAATACATAGTGATATTTGCTGGAAGTAGATACGAAATAGTTAGTATGTCCAAGTGTCACCGAAAAATTTTTTAGTGACAAATAAAAAATTTTTAGAGACAAAAACTCTATCGAATTCTAAATTTTTAAACTTCCAGAATGCTTTCTAGATGTCTGTCACCAAAGTCACCAAAGTCACCAAAAAAATCGAACTTCTCTAGCTTTTTTTCTTTTTTTATTACAGGTATGTAGCATGTATATATAATATATATATATAGAGTATATATGTAGCATGTATATATAATATATATATATATAGAGTATATATGTATCTTGTATATATCGGTAATATATATTAGGTATACCATAAGGTAAAGTTTTATTTTTTCTAGAATTTTACTTTTTTTTAGTGACTTTGGTGACAGTATAGAAGAACAAGATAAAAAAGAATTTAAACCCGAAATTTAATAATAAACCCGTCACCAAAGTTGTCACCGAAGTTGTCACCAAAAAATTTTTCAGTGACAGATAGCATAACCAGATAGCGTATATATAGCACACCGATAGCAATTAGATAGCATTAATTGACAACAGTGTCACATTTCTGTCGTTATGACACATGATGACAAATTCGTAAACCATTTGTCACTCGAATGACGACAAACTCGTAAACCAATCGTCACTCGAATGATGATGCATATATGTCGCCGTCGTCATTTGTCATCGATCACTAATATCTCTGACAACGCAAGCGCGAATCAGTCGTCACTCAAATGAGAGAGTGAATACTAATATATCTCTGACGACGCAAACACGAATCATTCGTCACTCGAATGATGGAGCGAATACTAATATATCTCTGACGATGCAAACACGAATCAGTCGTCACTCAAATGACGACAGAGATATGATCCCGTCGTCAGACATAACCTGGATTAAGTGGAAATAACATAATTATGTTATTTCCACTCTATTTAACTCAAATACTCACAACACACCTTCTCAAAACTTCCTCTTCCTTATACAAGAAGCAATTTCTTTTTGTATTACTGACCAACTACAATCTATTTTTACTAAAAATACTATCAACTTTGCCTCTATCTCTCTAATAATCTTCTTTTCTGGTTTAACTTAAACATTTGACAAATTAAAAACCAATTCTAACATGATTAGGAAACCTCAAAAAATATCATATCTAAATCTAAACGAATTAAATTCTCTTTACCAAATACCATTACTAGAACCTCTGCAACAACAATCTATAATCACAATATTGATTCATTTATTTAAAAATGGTAAAATCAAAACTTTTCTATTTTTTCATGTTTTTATTAACCCTTATACTTTAACTATTGGGCTTCCTCTTTCCCTCTCTATAACTAATGGTAGCTAGTCTTAAGTTAGTTTATAAATAGTAAATTAAGAAGTGATTTGCTACACTTAGGTGGTTATACAAGATATAATAGATAGTTCAAATTAATATCATCTTGATACAAATCTGTAACTAATCTTATCATGTATACAGCAAATTCAAAATAAAAAAAAAATAATAATAATTTTAGTAACAAAATTTATTAAACTTTTAGCTCTCATCTAACTTTTGTTGTAGTAATTAAAAAAATATAAAAATTTAACACTGATCTATATTTATTTAATACTATTTACTGTAAAAATTTTAAAGTTATAGCTTTTTTATTTAAAAAGTTAAAGGGGGTGGGATATTTATAATTCCTACTGTATATATTAAACGCCAAATGTTCAAACTTTAAAGTATAATAACTTTTAAAATTATAGACCAAATAAAAATCTATTCTAACGGAGTTTTAGCTTGGATAAAAGACAACAAATCTATAAGAGGAATTTTCGCTAAGATATATTGATTTTGAGTTATGCCACTTTTTTATTTGATATATAAATATTGGATATTTTTGCCGTCCGGTACTGTACCAAGTTACTCGTGCGGGAATACTTTTTTACAAGAATTATGCACTCGACCTTAAAAGAAAATTTAAATTAAAAATTGTCTTCGGACCACTTTATGTAAATATTAATGGATGACATCTAAATGTTTGAAGTTTGAGTAGTCAGAATTCGAGCATTACCAATCACGGAAATAGCTTCTTAATAGGTCTTCTAATATGATCCATATGACCTGGGAACAAAGTTAATGCAAGCATGATAATGCAAAACAATATAGAAAATGCTAGACAAATCCACGCCCAAGATTCTCCAAAAATACCATAAACCGTTTTTACGCGTTTATGTAAAGGTATTTGAAATGATATTATTAAATCGTCCACAGTTTCTACTGCCACGTAAGGTTGACCATAGGGTCCCCAAGCTCCAGAGGTTCCATAATGATTGCATCGGATTAATGTGAATCCATTTTCAATTGGTCTTATCGAATTGGTACGAAAATGATAGCCAGCAACTGGACCTGAGGAAGAAAACAATGTAATTAGTAATGTACGAAATTTAAATGAGACCTAATTATAAGCGTATATAGATAATTACCCTTGATATAATGACATAGCATTTAAGTGAAAGTTAAATTAAATGCTTTTAAATATCAATTAAAATGTCTGATATGAGCTTACCCAAGTATCTGAGGGCTGCACCATGAAATCAACATTATTTTTTGATGATTGGCTAATTAAGCTTGGAAAATTATAATCAAAACAAATTGCTCCTCCAATAGTACCAAAATCTGAAGTAGCACTAGTTTGCAAAATATTGGGGCCAGCAGTTATACCACTTTCTACAAAAGGTACTAAATGTGCTTTGGCATAATTAATCAAAATATTTCCATCTGGTGACACTACGGTTAATTTGTTGTATATTAATCCATTATCTGATGATGCATCAGCATAAGTGAATCCAATATAGGTTTTGTACATTTGAGATATATTGTTTATCCCAAGTTCAAGATCATTATATTGGGCTGTGTCATTAACAAGGGCTAAACTTTCAGACCATAAAATAAATTTGCTACCATTTCGCGCTAATTCTTCTGTCCGATCAACATAGTATTTATTTTCAAAATTATTGTTAGCGCCAATCACACATCCGACTTTGACAAGTGAATGCGCAGCGTATGACTCAATATTTCGTTGATAGAATGGAATGTACGTTGTTGAATATCGAATTGATCCATAAACAATCACAAAAAACATAGCAATAAGATAAATGATTACAGGATTGGTTAATTGAATGGCCATAAGTTTTTTAAAGTTTCGACTTTGCGGTGAATTATCATTATTTTCCGTAGTTTCCACGTTAACACCATTTCCTAAAATTGGGGCATCACTATTGCTTCCGGCATCAATATCACTTCCTGAAATTGATGAAATATCAAAAAATGATTGATGACGGAAAAGTATAACGATAATGTCAAGATCATTACCAAAATTGGATGTTTTCCAAGATTTAATTACGTAGGCACCCACAGTTCCACTCCAAGACAAAATAAAATTTAATCCGCCCAATCCAGCAAATGATGTAAACTGTATCATTTCATTATTTCCCAGAAAGATGTATCTAAAAATAGAAATACCAATGTCAGTAAAGCAATACGCAATGTTGCATAGTTCCACCAAAATACTTGCGCGTAGTTCGTGAAATCACCAAAGGAAGAGGTATACGTCAATATCATCCACAGGGCTGTTTGTATGATATAACGATAATAATGACAAATCATGCCCCCTTCTATAAAAAAAAGCGGACTCTTGAACAAACTTACAAACCTGTCCAAACACAGGGGAAAACAAGGAATCTGGGCCATCCTTTGAATACATGTTGAGCCAATCTGTCAAAAACCAGACTAATGGATGATAAAAGGTTCATTCCAAAACCAACCGCTGCAGCAAATAACAAATATTCGGGTAACCAATTAGAATTATCTGAGTTTAAACTTCCTAAAAATGCTAGTGCAGTTCCAAAACTGTTGGCAAAATAAAATGGAATAAACCATTTAATTGAGACAGTTCTACAGTAATATACAGACAAGGGAAACCATATCCACACAAATATAGATATTGTTTGGTATCCTGGGCCAAAAAATGTTAGAATTAGAAATAATGGAATCAAATAATGAATCAACTCCATTTTTTCTTTCAGGAAAAAAAAAGTAAAAAAACAGGTTGTAGAAATCTTTATGCAAGTTCGATTTTACGTAATATATAAAGTATTTGGCATTTATTGCCTATTTCCCTGTAAGAAACAGAATTTGGAAAGAACTGCTGGATTACGTCTATAAAATGAGATCAAATACAGTATAAGGAACATCGTTAATAAAAATAAATTGATAGAGTGGGTTTATACTATATTTGAGTGCTGCCAAGCCTTTGGGCTTCCGAAATATTTATTTGTGCCCAAAAAGGAAATTCAACGTAAACTGAATTCGTAAAATTTAAAATTAAAAATTTAGGCATGGCAAATTTGATAATGATAATCGTAATTGAATAAACTTGAAACTTACCAATTAAATGCATTTTTTTTTAAAAAAAAAAGAACAGAAAAAGCTTTCGGATACCTATATTCTATTAAAATTAATCCAAAATAATTAGGGATGTTAACAGTCCGGTCTGGTCCAGTCTGGCCTATTTTGATCCAGGTTCTGGTTTATTATGGTCCAGGTTCTGGTTTATGATGGTCTTCATTCTTAAGACTTTTTTTTGTTAGTCCAGACCGGTCCAGACTGGTCTGGTCTTAAGACTTAGAGCAGACCAATTTTTTCGAGTTTAGGCTGGTCTTAAGACTAACTGTGGTCTATTAGTCTAAGACCGGACCACTAACATCCCTAAAAATAATCCCAATACTTAAAAAGTTTTATTAGAGACGAAGTTTATATGTAATTCGAGTACACGAAGGTACTTGGTGTTAAAATAAAGAAGGACGGCATGTAACTAAGATCTGGAAGAAGCACAAAAAGATCTTGAATAACGCTTATGCAAAGAACTGAGTAAAAAGTTAACTACGTTTTATATTCTTTAAGATATAAAAATTATATTATAACGAATTATCATTTTTATTAAGTTATATTTTACTGAGTTTTAACTATTATTATTTCTAAAATACAATATAAAAACGATTTGAAAAAATATTTTTTATTAGTTAGATTAAGTAGAGAGAATACATTTGTGAAGATAACAGAGTTTTTAATAAAATAAATATAAGCAAAATTGCCTCACCATTAATATTAAAAAAAAAATATTGCATCGGATCTAATCCGACGCACGTCAGATGCCGATTTTCAGGTGACGCACGTCAGATGCCGATTTTCAGGTGACGCACGTCGTTGTTGATCGGTTGCCTGATGTGTGTCAGATTAAGATCTGACGCACGTAGGTTGTAAATCGACACACTATTAAACCACGTGTTTAATTATTTTTATCTCTTAAACTGTATTCCAGGCAAATTTGTCTGGAAAATTTAATTGTATTTAGTATTTTTTAAATAAAATAATAATTTAT